CTGTTTTTTTTTTTTTATTAGCTGAGCTTTTTAAATTACAGATGATCACATAGTCCTCACTTCCTACTTTTGTTGAATAAATTCCCTGGCCTTCCATGAGTCATAAAGTAAGTGAATCTCCTTTTTTGCCTCATGGATTTAACCGTGTACTAAAACTGAGGCCTTATTTTTAACAAGTAATCTTGCTGGTCTTACGCTGAGACTTCTGTAGTATTTGCTGAGGCCAGTATGCTTCGGTGCTGCGTGCCCTTAGATGTTCTTCCGTGCCCTGTGTTGTCTGTGAGACAAGAAGAAACCGTGAGCGCGGGAGGGCGCAGCATCTGTTTTCAGAGCATCCCGTGTAGCGTCCTGGTCCCTGGACCATAGCGGCTTAGGAGCTGACTGGAACTGTGTCTCCGTTAGCCAAATCCCTTCTGCCTTACAGAAGATTATACCTGGAGCATGAGGTTCTTCTGTTTGTCTTTCTGTTCTGTTGACATGGAAATGAAACCTTTTTCTTCCCCACGAGAACGGTCGGGTGAAAAACTCCACTTCTGCGTCCAGGGTTTCTGCTGTCTGCGAGCGCGTGTGTGCGGTGCGCGCTGCCCCCAGCCAGGCCTCCCAGCGCGTTCCCTGCTGTTTGTGGTGGGAGGTTTTGGTGAACGTAGCTTCGAAGCTCGTTCTTTAACCTCGCTTTTAGCCCGAGCTGGAAGTCACATGGCTAGATTTGTGGGTTAACATGTAGCGCGGTTGTCACTCTGTTCCTTCTAATTAATCATCGTTAGTTAATGCAGTCAGGGCTCTGCAGTCTCTGTCAGTTAATCCCCACCCCTGTGAACTCTTGCAGGGGTAAAGGACTCGGGGTGACAGGAGTTTATTTAAAAAAGATGATGTTCTATCTCCTGCACATTGGCCAAAATATTATTTAATTTCTCTAGAAATAGGAGAGTATTTTTGTAGGTTAGGATTTTTTTGTTTTAAGGATGATTTATCTTTCAGCCTGTGCACTGAGCTACCGGGCGTTGTTCTCTGCTGCAAACACCAGGTTTGCACCCAGCCTCGTAAGTAAAATAAACGCAACTACTGGGAGTAATGGAACATGTTAATTCAAGTGGTTATTTGGGCAGGTGTTGCCTTTGTTTTCCCTGGTTTGAAAGCTGTGACTGACAGCACCTAGCTGGGGAGCCAGGCCTAGTTTGCTGCTGGTCATACTGCTGATGCTCACGTGTTGAACTAGGGAGTGTGTCCCCAGAGAAAGACGGGAGTAACAGTTCCGTGTCCATCATCTGCCCAGGAGGGAAAACACATATGTGGAGAGTGAGTCTGAAAGCCACAGCAACTCTTGTCTGGTTTCTGTTCTCTTGACGTAGGTTTTCTTCACACTGACCTTACGGCTCGCTCGTCCTGTTTCCATAGAAATGCTTGTTTGCATAGCGGCCCTGGCCGCCTCGTGCCTTCCCGCACGTCCCTGCCGAAACAGAGGAATGGTCAGCTGTGTCGTGAGATAAAAGAAATGGACTTAATGCAGTAGAAAAGATTTGAAAACAGCATTGGAAAGCAAACTAGTTCTGGATTCAGTAGAATGGAGATAAAGGCAAATTTTTCTGATCTCTCAAAAAAAAAAAATTGAAGAGGAGCTAGAAATTGTCTGTCATTGAAATGAGCTTCTGAGTACAGATAAATCAGATAAAGGTGTCAGGACTTTTAACACTGGGAGTAGAAATGATCAAGAGCCGCTTCTCTGATGATAGAATATTTGGCTTAAAGGAACGCAAGGAAGTACCTTTCCACATAGCACTCAAAATGCAGCAAGGCTGTTGGGAAGGTTAGCGAAAGAAAAATGTTTCGGGGTCGAACGAGAAAGGTGTGTGATTAACTGAGTTACGGGGGAGCGTGTGCATTTGTGCTTCGTTATTTTGAAGAAAAGCGTGCTCTTTGACTGTACTCTTCCTCCCCGGCCCTTCGCATGTTGTTTGTGTTTTGGTAGCCTTTAAGGAGTAGAAGAACCTGCGTATGGTTGTGCCCAGTGGAGTCCTGACTCGGTATCTGGCCGTTGCAGTGTATGTACTAAATAACCTGCCTCATCTAGACTCTCTCAGGTATAATGCCTGATAATACCCGTAAAGAACCATTTCAGCAAGCATAAAAGCTGTTTGAGTGCTCAGAGCTGCAAATTGGTGCAGCTTTAATCAATAGTGTTTATGTACTTAAATGTTCAGAGACAGCTTGTGTCAAACTCTGGGTCTTTTTTCCTCTTTCTTTCATCAGTCTGGCTTCTCCCATACCACACCACTCGTTCAGAGCAGCTCTGTCTCCCTCATAACTGACGCTGTGCTTCCTCTTTTCACCGTTTTTTTGTGTGCCCATCTCATCATATTTGCTCTATGCCAAGTGCCAGATGTGTTGGCAGGCCGGTAGGAATTATTTTTGTATATGATAAGGAACAGTTTAGCTTTTGTGCCCTCAAGTAGCTGCAGTGAGACAGTAGAGTCATGGTTAACTTTTAGTCATGCAAGTTCCACTTCATGCAAAATGATTATAAAGCAAGTTCTCTTTCTGTTGAAGCTTTTAAAGCAGGAGGAAAATGCAAGAGACAATTTAATGTGGGGCTGGTGTTCATAGGTCAGAATAACAAGATAGTGTCTTTTTTCCAGGCTGTTAGCAATAAAAGAACAGTTGCATGTGGTAAAAACAGTATGTTCTGGACTCTGTGCCAGTAGAGGGAAAAAAAAAAAAAAGATTATTTTGCAAATTGGAAAAATCTTTGGTTGATGTAGGTTGATTGCATTTGTTAAACTAGACTGCAGGTGAAGGGTGTTCCATCAGTAGTAATAACTCTTACGTCTAATAGGAATTCTGTGAACCTTGTAAGGTAGTAAAATTGTTGATAGGATGCAGAATCTTTTACTCAGCCTTCCCAGAATTTCTTTGAAAAATTTGCACATTAATCCAGAGATGATTTTGCTTTGCCAGCTCTGCCCAAATTTTTCTAAAAGTCAGTTTAACTTCAGGAACAGACTGTTGTTTTCCCTGATAATGTTAACCAGACTTGTGGTGAGGCCAGACGCAGCAGCATTCAAAACAAGTCATAATTAATCTGAACCACCCTCTTTTGCAGATGGCACCTGGTACTGGGAGCAGAAAACCGTTTGTGTGCCCTGTTACAGAGTTCAGGATAAGCAGTAAAGTTCAGATAAAATATCTGTGTAAAACCTGAGTGTATAAAAATATATTCAGAACAGAGCACTAAGTTCTGTTTTCAACGGAAAAAGGTTTGAGGGACTAGCTGCTACATACATCAGCAATAAATCTTTTTCCTTGCAAATTATTGTAGTTGATATCTGATGTTTATAATGATAATATCAGTGTTGCATAATCTAATGTTTGCTTCATACTGTCATTATTCACTGCAATAAACTTGCATCTGCCATGTGGTATGACTCAACCCAAAGGTCGTGTTGGAAAAGTGGTTTTTTTAGTGTTTGAGTTGCTTTTATGTTATATTTTATTGCATACTCTTGGCTTGCAGTCTAGTAAAATGCAGGCTGCTTGACCGATCCCAGCACTTGGAAGTAAAGACGCTGCTTGCTCTGGGGTCCTGTTCAATGTGAAAGGATATGCTCATCGGTCTGAACTCTGTCACCCTATTTGTGTGACTGGAAGGGTTATGGAAACCAGTAATTTGTGACTGTATATCCCATGAAACTCTAAAGGCATTTAGTGAAAGATAAATCATGTCATTGAATGACTTGTTCACACTTTTCACTCTGTTCTGAAGGTGTGTGAAACACAATGCAATACTATAAAGCTCCGGTATGGAAGGGCTGAGTGACTCCTGGGTCAGGAAGCTTTGTTTTACTCCACAAAGTTGAGCAAAGAAATAAATCACATCCAAACGTCTGTGTCAGTGAACATTGGAATAGTACTGGAATGTTGTTCTATCCAGTTCCTGTTAGTGTTGTCAAGATTTGTACTGGGAATTTTGTTTTTACCTGGAACGAGAGTCTCATCCTAGGTCCTATGTTGCGTCCTCCACCACAGTAGAGATTGGTCATCCTTACGAGCTCTGTTCAAAGTTCTGCTTAATCTTGAATCCATTAACTTTTGGCATTGTCTGCGAAGATTAATTTCCAGTGAGGGCTCTAATATTCCTCTTCAAGTGAAGAGGGTTGGTTTTTTCCCCCACCAAACTGAAAGGCCGGGACAGAAATCAAAAAGCTTCTTTATATATAAAATGTGTGTGTGTCTATACACAAGAGAAGTTTGGTGTAGTTCTGCTGCTAATGGCTTGAAACTTGAATCGAAGGGAAGGTGCACGTGGCAGATTGTTAGCGATCGGTTCGCTATGTTTATCCTGGGCCTGTTCCTCGATAAACTGTGTTTAGGCAATGATGTAGATAACTGGCCAGTAAATTTGAAGAAAGACCCAAATTTTGATTAGGATCTCTGGCTACATTTTGAATGATTGCCAATGCTTGAAATACTCTTTTTTTTTTGCTTACTATTGATTAGAATTTCTTAAATTTGTAATCTTGCTTAGTCTTATTTTAATCTGATCCTTTTGGGGGAAAGCGTGGTTCAAAGCTGTTAGCTTCTTGAAATTAGCTGTAGTTTAAGAATATTCTGGGGTTGCAGTAATCTTTTGTTGTTAGGGGATGGATAACTTGGTGAATGAGAACGCCGTGAATGTGGTGTGCTCTTTCCGCTGTGGGCCTCTAGTGTGAGACACTTTGAAAAGATGTCTGAGAGAGGCTTAGACATCTAATTACAGCAGTTCCTCGTGTAGGCCAGAACATTCATGGCAATAACTTTTGGTCACCTTTGGCGTGGATTTGAGAGTAACTTTTGATCTGTAGCAAATGTTGTGAGCTTATTAGTCCTGCTAAATTTTAATGAAGTTTATGGAGACTACGAAGAAAACTGGAAGAGCTCGTGATAACTTAAGAAATGTTGGCTGTAACTTGAACCTGACTTGTTTGATTCTGTGCCACAATTAGAATGTCCACAATCTCTGTTTTTAGAGGATTACCCCAATGGGACGTGGCTCGGAGATGAAAATAATCCTGAGATGCGGGTCCGTTGCCCCATCACCCCTGCTGACATGCTGCACATCAGCACAAACTGCCGCACGGCCGAGAAGATGGCACTGACATTGCTCGATTATCTCTTCCACCGGGAAATTCAGGCCATCTCCAACCTTTCGGGCCAGGGGAAGCACGGGAAGAAGCAACTTGATCCTCTCATGATTTATGGAATTCGCTGTGAGTATAATACAGAAACTTTTGAATTTGTTCTGTGTAGATAAGGCCGAAACTGCTGGCTACTTGCAGTTAAACTGCGCTCTGTAAGAATGGGGAATGCATTGTTGTCGCCAGGCAGGTTTTGTTAGCTTTGTTTATGAGGGAATTCTAATGGGCTGGTTTGGTTTAGTTTGCTGTGGGTGTTCAGCAGAAGTTCCTCGATCTTGAAATCTGAATTCAGATTTCCTTGCAGCTAACAGCTGTGAGTGCACCAAGTGTAGTAAATATTGGAGAAATAAGACTTCCTCAGATAATGGAACGAATAATAAAACAAATTACACAAATTTAAATACTGTTCAGGTGTTCAAAACAGTACGGTCTTGAATCTTAATTCTTCTACTTCCCATTGGAAGTAGATTTTAGAACTAAATAATCTTTAAGGTCCCTTCTGATCCAAACCATTCTGTGATTTATGTGCATTGCTTCAAAAGCCTTGCTGAGGTTGAGATGGAAGAAATTTGCAATCTCTACTAAAGGAGAGATTAAGGATCGTAAAGCCTGTGGATTCGTAACAGGAATGCAGATGATGCTAACGTGCTTCTCCCTGCTCCGGTCTTGTAGTTACTAAAGCTATTGTGCAGTAATGAACAGACATTACTTACGTTGAAGATGTAGTTTTTGTCAATTTAAAAGGAATGAAATGTGCCTTGCATATAGAATATAGTAGGCAGAGCTGCTAGTTTTAAGTGAACAAGATGCATACGTCCAGATTCTTCTTTTCATGTAGAGCAAGGGCACGTAGAATATAGTAGGCAGAGCCACCAGTTTTGGGTGAAGAAGATTCTGGACAAATGCGTCTTCGTCTGATACAGCGACTTCTGGTAGAGGATCACTCGGTGATTACATTAGGACAGCAAGTCTGCTCCATGCGCTGTGGTGTAAATATTTCTGGTGAAGGAGGTAGGCGAAGGCCTCTCCAACAGCCAAGGGTCTGACAGAAGCGTTACAGCTCTTGTGCGATACCTTTGCTGTGCGCGTAAAGAGGAAACAAATGTAGATGTTAGTGTGGAATTGAGAGAGTCTAAAAATGACCAGCTTTACTAATTGAACTAGATTTTAATACACCGGTAGATCTCGCTGTTAAAAGATTCTTCATAGTCACATCTTATGTAGGTCACCAGTGGATTAATAGAGTGGGAGTAATTTGTTGTACTAGAGCGTTTTGTGGGCAACTGCCAATTTGAAATGCCAGTGAAGGCTTAAGAACACAGCCAGAGTGAGCTTGTTTGGAATGGTGTTTGAGGAATCTGATGTTTTGTCTTTACGCTTCTCTTAGGGCAATGTGTTTCATAGTTCCATGGAGGAAAATGTGAAGAATATTTGATGATGAGGCTGCCTTGCTTTCTTTACACTGACCTGAGCTGAGGAAATACAGCCCTCGTGACCTGCTTTTGTTTCTAGTAATTTGCTGGCTGTCTCGGGGAGATTGATAGGCGAAACAAACCCGTTCAGTTGCTGCATTAGGCCAGTTTTTGTCTCGTTGCATACCTGAAGCAGAAGACTTCAGGCTTTTACTGCGAATATATTAAATATGTATTTTCAAGGGAGGTTATGATTCAAAGTAATTTTGATCTCCAAACCCTTTTTATCTGTGGATCTCATCAACCTTGTTCCATTGTGTTTTTAAAACTTAGATTTTCGTTGACGATAGTCTTTAGAAACATGAACAAATGAACAGCCTTCTTCCCTTGCTCCAGAGGTAAAGCAAGTCACTAGCAACTCTTTTCCCCGTCCCTTAAATCTGTGCGCACAAATCAAACGAGTGAGTTCGTAACTATTTGTGTAGGAAGAAACAGGGTTTTGAAAGTGTGAGCATGAGGAAGGAATGTGCTCGAGCTAAGGATTATGTCATTTACATGAGGCATTCTGACCGTGAGGGAATTGGATTACAGCAGCGTGATCCCTGCAGTTGGAAAAGCTCTGCGGTGGCAGAAATGTGACAGCAGTGGATCAGAAGCGTTCTGCTGTGTCTGTGTCATAAGCATGGCTCAGAAGATTTGGGATCCAGGTATCTGAAACACATATTTGTTTCTTCTTCGTGTTGACTAGTGTGTTGCTTTCTTTTGGGAACCAATCCATAACAAACTAGGGATTGTGTGTGCCTTCTGGAAAGGATACGCCCCCTGTGAATCTGACTTTTTTGGGCACCTAAATGTTAATGGTTGTTGAGATTTGCTATCAGCCATGACAGAGAATCCTGTGGCAACAAATGAAGAAAATGCATATAAACTTGATGAAGCAGCAAATTTAATAGTGAAATGATGATTTCGTGTGGCAACGGAGTATGTCATCACTGCGAATAGTTAAGCTGCAATGAAATTTGATTTCAGTAGCTTGTTTATGCATTTGCCGCGGTGTGAGTGGGCACAGGGGTGACTCAGGGCTTTCGAGGATGAGATTCTGGCCAGGTTCAGTCCGGTGGCAGAGCTCCTGTTGAGTTCAGCTGTGCCACGATCTCATCCCTGGTATTTGTCAGAGAGGCACCGGGAAGAGCCCTGCCGTGCCATGTCCGCTTCGCTGCGCTAGTCCCCAGCCCGTGTGGTTTTTATTGGTGAGGTGGTTCCGTGAATCTCCCCAAACCCAAGCGCAGCGCTAGCATGGGAACTAAATGGGGTGGTTGTCCTAACGACGTGGTTGGCTTCTGCTCTGAGCACTAACACTTTGATGCGTCATTTTACACTTACAGGAAAAATCCGATGCCATCAGCCTCGCCTTTGCCAATCGTAGCTAGAAAAGCTCAAGCCAATATAAAGGATTTTATTTTTCCTTTTGTTTCGAGTTTCTTCAAGTTTGTCAGTGGAAAGATATTCCTTCCTTTCTTTTCCTGGAAGAAAAAGAAAACACCAACCAAATGTGTATTCAATAGAGAGAGTATTTTGTATAATATACAGAAACTATAGAGAACAGAGTGATGTCTGTTTATTAAAAATTCTTGATACGCTGCATAAAGTTGACCGCAAGAGAGATGGAAGTTTATCTTTGGAAGTATAAATGTTCACTTGTGGAATAACTTTGCTTGTGGGGTGGCAGTGAAGAGTTTTTGGGCAAGAAACCAAAATGACTTAAACACACTCCATGTCCTTAAGTAGCTCATTACTTCTGCCCTACTGAAAATGTGGACGTTTTCTGGTGAAATACGATCTAAGAACATCCGCAGCTGCAATTTTCTTTGTGTAACAGAAAAATACAGGTTTCGCTCTTTTGAGATTTTATTGCAATCTCCACAAATGAGTTTGAAAAACAGATTTCCAAATTCAAAATTTTGCCTTTCTAGAAAACTGTAACACAAAGGATGATTTTCCGTTTCGGCTTGGAAAAAAAGTGAGAGGGTATTTCTGAAGTTCATAAAAGAAAACCTAACAATTGTTCTTATTCTTTAAAATAATCTAAGTAATTAAATGAAAAGAAAATAACATTAGTTATTTCCTGGGTAACTTTGTTAGTGTGTCATTTCTGTGAAAGCCTCTTGCATCTGCACATGTGTTTTTGCAGACTCTCACCAATCATTTTTTAACATACTTGTCAGTTTTGGCTAATTATGACAAGAGGATAGAAGATCAGTACCTACAAATTAAATACAGAATGAGTGGTTGGGTGGAGGAAGGAGATACAGATCCACTAATTACATTAAGGAGAACCTGTGCCCTTAGCTCAGTTGTATTATTGGACTCCAGAAATCCTCTTTTGGCTCCATGCAGTCGTCTGCTGCTCGGGGAACTATTTATGCATATTGAAATAACTCTCACATTAGGGAAATGATTGTTGTTTGAAAAAAACCCAAAAAACCCACAACCTCAAAACAAGAACAAAAAACCCCTCACCAAAACCCCCCAGTCCCCACAGTGGGGAGGGCACCGTCGTGAAAGATGTCTCAGTGCTGTTCCAGCCAGCTTAGCACCATTCTGTTGAATTTTCCCATCTGCTTCCAAGACGACTTCATGGAGTGAATTCTTGCTGATTTCCATCGTGAGTTAGTGTTTATTTAATCCAGAATAGATCCCTATCATTTGCTTAACATAGGAAAAAAGTGTTATTGGAGAATACCTTACGATCAAGATGGACTATTTATTTTAACTCTATGGTAAATGATGTCTGTTGTGTTTCAAATAACACATCACTTCACTTTTTAAGACGCACTTCGAAATTCAGACTCGAGAGAAACTGGTAATGGAAGGTTGGTGTTTCTCTTGTATCACAGTGTTGCTTCCAGTAAGGATGGGACCACTTTGCTGCTGCACTGGTTGAACGAGACGTTAATGCACTTTGACAGAAGAACAAACCATAGCCATGTCCTCTTCAGCGGGCTGTTCGAGTAGAGTTAAGCGCTGTGCTGCTTTACGAAGTGCGTGGCCACACCGCTGCTGGAGGAGCAGACCGCCCGCCCGTGGTTAATAGGAAACACGTTTGACTCCTCCTTGGTTGTGTAACGCACGTCAGTTAGATCAGCGTACATACAGATGTGTTTATGTATATGTATATTCGTGCCCATAACCCAAACATAACGCAGGTCGGGCCAGTTTAAGCAACTTGTAACACGTGTCACGTCAAATCTGCGGGTCGCAGTCAGTCACTGCTGCTTCAGCTTCTCGCTTGCTTTTAGTCAAGATTTTGGTCTTAACAGCAATGCAGGATAAACAGCAACTATACCACGCTTCTGTCTGTCTTAAGCGTTCTCATGCTTTTAAATGCAGGAGGAAGGGTAGTAAGTTGCTTCTCATAGACAAGCTGTTAGCTCTGATGCTTCTCGCCAGTAGGTCTGTTTTATGAGATACTGCAGACTGTTGCTATTATATAGAAAGTTTTCTATAAATAAATATTACAGTTACTAAAGATGTACGCTCTAAATACAGAATATATTTAGTATTTTCTGGTGGGGTTTTTTTCCCACTTTAAAAAAGCCTTTTTTATTGCTATATTTTTATAAACTATACCCTTTTTCCTTTCATATCCTTTTTTCCTTC